CGGTCGCCATCCTGGAAGGCGAGTAGCATCGACAGAACCCAAGCGTTTCGTGATCTCCTTCATACTCCTCTGCCAAGTCCAGAGTTGGCCACCTCCCTGTTTACGCTACTCTGAGTTGGGCACGGAATGAATGAATGAACGAATGCCATATCCTGTGCCCCATTCAAACTCTTCTTCCCCCGTGAATTTTCCAACAGATTGCGGTGGCGGACAAGAAGTCGGTTGACATGTTGGCCGACATGGTCCTGGCACCACGAAAGAAAGTGCCTCTCATTCTGACCATTATTGGTGCTATTTCCACAGTCTTGGCGGTCACGTTGATTGTAATTCTTGTGGCGTGTGTACGTACACGAAGCATTTCCCATCGTGCCAAGCGAAACGGTACCGTTAGTCCTGCGTCTCCAGTCATCACCACAACATGCACGAAAGAGAGCCACATTGACACATACACTTCGGTCACATCACCTTGGTCCAGTACCAAGCCTAGAGCTCCGGAAACTCAGGTATGTTCGCGTTTGCCACATTCATTCATGATATACTCTTACGATGTTGAATAACCTTCAGTCGAACGGGTAGTATGTTGCGAATTGAGAGGCTGGAGCAATATATTTGCCTCTGGTAGGTTGTTTGGTTCAGCATGCTGATCCAAGTCAGTCAGCTGTTTCGTGGCACACAATACCGTGCTCTCTATTGGGACTTCAAAACAACTTTTGTCAACAACGTAGCTTCAATTTCACATTCGTAACTCTCTCCTGAGGAAATTCCAGCAGTCCGCCCAGGTTGATCCTTGGTGGTGTCAGACCCAGTCACAAGTGAACCCCGCAGCTCTGGTATATCTGTCGTGAGCCCTAGCTTACCATGACTGAAAACCTGGCGACATACTCCAAGCATTCGCTATTGAGTTGGTAGCTCACAGGTAGTGTGGATGATCGTTGGTTAGTCCACCGAGCTAGGCAATTCGATTGCAAACGTTTCATCATCAGTGAGCAGAATGAAGCATAACGGTCCACAAGCAGAGACGCTTGGCAGGCCTCACATTTCGACTGGGATTCTGTCGACTGATTCTGTACAACAATGTCCCCAGTACTCTTGTAAATGTTTTTGGGCATGTAGAGGTGACTTGGTGTGGATGCTATTCTAGAGTCGATTGACGATATGTGATGCTCTACGGACACGACGCAAGTGATGGTAGACTGGGACAGAAAGTTCAGTGGCACAATACTTTTAAACCAGGAAGAACCTACTGTTAGGTTTTCTAGCCTTATTTGCGGAAATCTTTCTCAGTTTTACGCGTCGCCGTGATAACCTATGAACCCTTGGTAGCATAGATGTAGTTAAATGTTTTTATTGAGTTCGGCAGAAGACTAGCTGATCTGTCTCCCGAAAAAGGTTTTGTGCGTTGTCTTCACCCTCCAGATGTTTGTTCCGTTTGATTGCAAGATGAGCTTGTTATGATGATTCTTTAGTGTAGAAATTTCAGCTCTAACAAGGGTAAACTGCCGATTCTCTTTTTCCTTGTCCCCATACTTGCATACTCATTCCTTACAGTGAGAGTTTTATGTGCACAGTCGGATGATAAAATAAGGTTTTGACGGCGTAGTGGAACTCATCACCCAATCGCTCACTGATGAATTCCACACGGTTGAAGGTGAAACGTTTGTAGCTAAATTGCCGAGCTCGGTGAGCAGATCATCAGCCATTTGATCTACAACAAACCACCAATATTTCGGCTTGTTGCCGGCCCGTATCTAACTTTCACAAGAATAATCTCCCTTGAGAAAGTTCTTTGCCCAACTGCACACTTTGGCAGTTTTGTTCTTAGAATCTCAGTCCTAAAGATGAATGTCTTTAGTTAAACGAAAGAAAGATTTTGAAGTCTAGCTGGTCTATAGAATTCTTGTCTCTTTGGTCAATCGCCTCAGTCATCTCGCTTAGCGCCAAAAAGCGATAAGTTTTGAATGTACTCTTTCACAAATCCATGTTCTGGAGGCTATGAGAGATTAGACTGAGAATTTCTCACTTGTGCGACTGACACCTCTGCTATTGGTTACAAAGCCTGCTTTCTGTCCTGTATATAGTCAAGGACGATGACCGCACTTTTAGCATATCTTATCATCAGTCGTTCCCCTACAACCGGCTAGGTTGTTTGTCGGTCAGCGGAGAGTCTAACATATTTATGTCAACAATTCGTAACACTCCAACACCTTTTTGCGTCACGCTTTCCGTGTCGAAGGAGCCTCACTTTGCGATTTCCGTTTGTGCACCTCGTGCTTCCACACATAGTTGTCTTTTCATGTAGCATGTCTACGATGTTACAGTTCGACGTTTCGGTTGCTGTGATCAACCTTTCTACAGTCAACGGATCGTAGAAATCCCTCTAACAGGTTGCCCGCGGCAACCGAAGTGTCGGATTATAAAACTTTTTTTGATTGTTTAAGTGTACACGAACCAAAGGCTGTCGGTAAATCATCTTATCTCGTTCTGTGACTCGTGGAATAAGAGTGATAATCCGCTTAACACCAAAACTCCAAGCCCAAAAAGTCGCCTTAGACGGCTGAAATTGTTTTAGTGCAACCCACATTCTATCATTTTTTAGGACTGCTGTATTTGGAACAATCATGTCTGTAGATGTGACTGTTTTCAAGTCTCAATACCACAGCCGAGTTCGCATCTAGGCGCCAGCGGTATGAATCACAGCTTTCTGTGCGTGTCGTTTTGTGAAGGCTAATCTTCCTTTATCAACAGACCACACACATCGATACAACTAAGTTGGTCAGTTTAATTCAAGTTGCTCCCAAGAAATTAGAGATAGTATAACGGGATCAGTGTTACCACCAGTTGCTACCTGGAGGTGAGATGGTTCAGTGGTTAGAGCGCGAATTTACTGACCGTGACCCGAACCCGACCTCTGAATCTCGACTCCCCCTGTGTAGATTTGGGCAACTTAGCCAAGCCCTCGTGCTTCCTTCGGGTAGCATGGCAGCTAGGCACCGCAAGGGCGCTACAGCTGAACGATTAATGATTGATTTATGACCTACAGTGCAGACCGAAACCGTGTAGCAAGAATCAAAGAATCGTATATCGGAAGCGTGGTGAAAAATCACATGCTCACTTCCTATATTTCTTACAAAGAATTTCCGCATGTTCTCCGGATGATTAGACCCATCGTAACGGGCGAACGGTATCTTCGAGTGACGCGTAATACCAGAACCTCCGAATAGGCAAAACAAAGTCGGAACTGGGCTTCTATACGGTACTATTAGTGTTAGACAAATTTGCAAATTATAGAAACCTCGACAGTAGATACGCGTCCAAAACAAATGGTCCACTTGGACAACAAAAGTACAAACCAAGGAAGCAAACAGGCTCCCACGTGCGACAGTCACACGTGCAAAGTCGGCTACAAATGGCCAGATGACCTCAAGGCCAAATGAGTGAGATGGTAAGGACAAACAAACGTCAGTTCATATATACACACTAAACACAAAAGTGGAGCGGGGGTTACAAATGGGGACAGAATAAACGTGGGAATTTCATTGTCAACGTAATAGATGATACCCATAACCACTAATATTACGGTTTTTGATAGCGATATGGGGAGATTTCGTAATTTGGAAACCGGTTTTTGAGTGTCATTTATCACCCGAATTCACGATTCTGCCGAAACTCAACATGAACCACTCCCGATCTAATCCAACCAGTATTCCTCACTCAAACGGCTAACAACACGGATAAACTAGTCTGTCTGTCTGACCGAACGATTCAGGTCTTTTCTGCAGGGCTTGTTCCCGTTCAAAGCCATTCCAGGCGTCGTTGAGTGACCATCTGGAAGAATAAGCCGTATAGTGGAACACAGAAATGAAAACTCATTTCTCTCGATGAAGTAATTTGATTAAATGTATCCATGTCTGACTGAGACGGGTAGGGCAACTGCTTTTCAAAGCTTATCAAATGAGGAACTACTCTCCTTGCTGCATTCTGACCTTTCTGAAAGGGAGATTTTTTGTGAAAACCGCCGCACAGCTGTGGGACGCACATTCGTGCGCCATCTCACTAAACAACCTCACGCCAAATAACAACGGTTGGCAGACCTTGTTCGCTTCATAAAGTCTACGGACATACTGAATTGCGGTAAAGAAGCAAGCTCACATTTAGGTCATCCTAATCCGTACATAGTAGTTTGCCATTATGAGCGATGTAAAAAAGCAAGGCAACTGCCCTCAAGGAAACAGTTCCAGCGAAGAACAAAATTTCTACTGTAGGGTGTCCCGCCGAGAAAGCAAATAAAGATGTCTTATGAGAACCATCTGCACTCCCTTCACTACGTGGTGTGCTTTCTCATTTCTGCTCTTCTGGTAGCGAAGACTTCCACGTTTATCTATGACTGTCAGAGCAAGTGTCTAGAAAACCAGCAGAGGAAAATAGAAGCGTGCTACTGGCGAGGTATGGTTAACTGATCTAACCATGTTAACCCGATGGACTGAAGATAAACTCAGTACGACTGGTTTGTCATCGGTCACAGCTTCGATCACTATCACTCACTTATATAAACTGGGGGTGAGATAGCCCAAGTGGTTAGAGCGTGAATTTACTGACCGGAACTTCCGTGGTTCGAACCCGACCTCTGCCACTCGACTTCCCCTGTCTAGGCTTGGGCAACCTGGCAGTATCCTAGCCCTCGTGCAACCTTCGGGTGGCATGGCAGCTAGGCACCGAATGGCTTCATCAGCTGAATGATTTTTTTATAAAATGAAAGCGTAGGACAGGGTTGTTCAGCTTCCGCATTTTGGGGTTAACTGAATTCATGGATTTCGCTCTACATTGTTCCTTTGACAAAATAGCCCAAGATTAGTTTCACCACCCGGCTTCGCGCTTCCCTCTACGGATACCGTCTGTGTATGTGTACTGGATAGATATAACATTCAACCCAGTCGGCATAAAAGCGGCGTTCCGTATTCGCACAATGTAACTGAATCTTCGAAAGCTATGACGTGTCCCTGATGGACACTGAAGCAATCAGGCAATTGAATTCAGAGTAGCATCCAAACCTTTGAACTCCATTTAGGCATCCTGGGGTCTCAGCGATGCTGGGAAATTTTTCCACCAGACTTTTCAGCCAGAAGTATGGTCGCTTCAGTGGACAATGAAACTTGGTTAGCTGCAAAAATATGAGCGTATTTTAGGATGGCCTTTGGTTTGAGCATATGCGCAACAAAATGCAACATTTTGGCGCCAAAAGTTTTACTCCACTCGTAAAGGTTTTACGGCTAAGACCATTGTGCAGCTAATGGGCCCCCATAAAAGCATCTCTCACTCGGCTCTCGCGCTAAGCTAGAGACCCGAGACTGTGAGACCATCCATCCGCTTTGTATGATTAGAAGTTCATTCTTCGCATTGCGCCTGTGATGCTTGTTCGCGCATGCAGCATTTAGCTGTCATCCTCGAAATAGGCTAATCTGAGTCTGTATTCAGGTTACCAACGTACGTTTCTTCCCGGACGTTAATACGGTGCCTACTGACAAACTGTGAACAATTATCATGTATGCATTGAAATAATGGTTCCTTGTATAATGCGAAATCGTTTCGGAAAAGCTATCGGTAAGCAATGAAACGAATGATCTTGTTTGGCACTACTTGTTGGGGGAACGACTGAACTGCGGTAAATAGTGCTCTTCTTCGTCAGCAAATGCTATACTTATCGGCCACACCCAGTATTCTTCATGTATCTATTATTCACAAATGGGTTTTTGAGACTGGACTCCCGTGGATACCTGCTCTAGTTAGTTCGACAGTGAAAAAAACATCCCTGTTGGAGCTTGTGTTATCCAGCCAATCTCTGAATCTTACGACTTCTATGCACTGGCTTCTGCTCGTGAGAATGTCGATGTTGCTGTTTGCTCCGCGTGGCACAATAGCATCTGCTGTGACTCACCATTGAGACTGCAGAATAGCGTAGCGGTCACCCTCTTGTTCATTCAGCCCAGTTCGCCTAACCGCGACTGCCTCAGACAGTAGCAGTGAGGTTGTGGTCGGTCACTGTCATCACGTAGGCCGCCGTTACGCTAAGACAGCTACGCGATTGCGTCGACTCTTGTATGGGTATCGCTTGTTCCGGGGGCCACACAGCGGTGATTGGCTTATCGCGCCCCTCGACAAAGTTTGGCGTTTCAAGTTTAGCGCGTTCACACCGAGCTAATGAATTCTCTTTTGCTTGAATCCGATTTACTGTGAATAGGACCGCGAATCAAGCATTCTTCCATGGAACTTCAAGTAATTTCAAGCCGATTGGAATCATCAAACTGACAACTTGATTTTAATATCTGATCGTTCTCCTCTACTCCTTATTTCACTTACTTTGTTGTCATTTCATCACCGTGCCTCAAATATCACTATTCCCGTATTCCATCACCTATCGAACATTCATCGCTTCCTTTCAAGGTCACTGAGGCCAAGCCTTTGCTACACTCTCCGTCCCACAACGACCCAACGGCCCCAGTTGCTTAGGGTTTGACGAGGTCGGCGCACGCGCGCCACCTCTGCCGTAGGCAAGTTCCCTTTTTACACACCGGTGTGAGAGTACCAGTTATGTGTCTGTGTGTCACACTGCCCGTGTGCGTGTTCAAGCACTAATTTGCCTAACTAATTGTGCGAGGGGATCAACCTGATTCAGTGACTATCCGAATTGGGTGATGATTGCGCTTTGTGATTGTTTATCTGGCATTCGCTCCTCCCCTAACACTGTTTTTTTCTCATTCCAGGTATGATCCAATTCCAAGCTGTAGGCACCATGCTATTGTTCATCGACTTCATCCTCCCTACCTGTCACTTCTACTCATGCGAAAACCCGTACCCGGGGAAGATTTGGAAAGTTTTTACTCCTGTTATTGTATTTTTCTCGCTATTCTTTTGATGCCACTTTTTGTGTCCGATTTGTTATACACAACCACGACCTCCGCTTCGTCTTCAACCTTCAATAACCTTGTTATGCTTGTTTTATTATTCAATCACCACCCCTGCCCGTGTGGATTCCGTGTACGTCACGGATACCCGCACTCTCTGCCACCGTGACAATTTGTCCAATGGAACGCTTGCAGTGATTGTCTCGAATTGATTGTTTTTGATTACGACAATTCTGATCAGACACGACTGACTTTTCCGTATTCGTTTTTTGTGTGCCTGTTGTATAGATCAACTGATCTTCACTGTCACCACGTACATTTTCCTACTTGCTTGCCTAACTACTTGCGTTTTGTCCACTTTATGAGCTCCCCTTTGCTTTTTTGATTCCCTTCACACCAACTCGGGAAATTGAAATAGAGAATAGTTTGTACACGGAATGTTGAGTTATTTATTCCACTCGTTCTTCCTAATAAGGGCCGGACCTTCGTTCCGTCCGGATATGTAAATTCAGGGCTGACATTTGAATGATTGGACCATTTCATCTGGACGCTACAGGGTGCACTACAACAACGATGGTGTAAGTATTTCGTCAAATATGTACTTGAGCCGTTCCAGCACCCTTTTTAGAGCGTGCCGAGATTGATCTCACGTGTACCGTAACCAGTTTCCCAGAATCCCAGTGACAATTTTATCGTCTCTCAGTGCGAAATGAGAGCCGGAAACCCCTCGCGTTCGTGCAAAATGGCACACCTATGTGGAGTCCGAGCCGGCCACTCAGCTCCTGGAACCCATGGTGCGTTGACATCGCTTTCCGGACTTGTCCGTTCGCAGGTTAGGTAATGTCATATTATGTTTGAGTTGAACCGCGTATTCACCAACCTGAATGCTCTGTATATGGTGTTAACCTAAAGGAATGGACGGGAGAGATCAGCTCTCGAGCCATTAGTATAGTATGTCTTCACTAATGAGGAGAGGACTGACTATTTGAAATGTACGACGTACGCAGCGGTTGACCACGGTGGCTTGCACTCGGGCACACGTGATTAACCAATTTTAGTAAATCAGCACAAGAGTGTTCACGGAGACCGACTTCTGGCAACGTTGTGGGTTTAGCAGTGGAATTCCTGTGGATGATCCACGCAAGAATCATAAAATGATATACCAGGAATAAACACGATACAACAAAATGTGTTCCATGCAGAATACGGGTAAAATGTAGATGAAAACCAAGAAGGCAAGCTTGGGACCCAAGTTGTATAAAGCTGCAATGGATTTAGTTGTTGGTATCTGCCCTGGCAACAACGAGTGCTCGGGTTGGTTATAGGCAATTGGTCTGCGCAACGGTAGTCACAGAAAGTTATTTGTAAGGCACTTGAAGTTGGCGATTTGTCGGCTGTCATATAGTATACATACGATAGCATAAAATAGTGCAACATATAATACAGAATAACGCAGTGCAACCCAAACCAAGGGTGTCTCCACTGATGACACCGGCCTGTTCAAACACGTATCGGTCACTTGAAAGTGAGGCAAACGGTCTCGTCTATCCAAACCGGTCAACATTAGACGTCGGTCGACAGATACGTCAATGATCGATTAGTTGTGACAATCCCAGGGCGAGTCGTTCGGCTCGTCAGTAAGCGAAATCAGGCGACTCCTTTTCCTGTTGGTAATGTTCTCCTGTCTGATGACGGGCGATATGATGTATACGCCTGAACATTGATTTATCGCCCTCGATATTGGCAGGCATCTCCGCTGCTAGGTACTCTTGTGGAGTCTGCCAGAATCGCCACGTTCACTGCAACCTCTGTGCACAGGCCCTTCGGAGCTTCCAGTCGGTCCCATTTACACACGGGGTTTGGAAGGATGTCAACAGAACCGATAGGATCGTAGTTCTTCGAAATCTCATTTAGATGGTACACAAATAACGTTGTGGATGAAACATCGGGTTTTGTTTGAATACTGTCCTCATCACAGTGTTACCCTATGGGCATATGAGTAAAACCTTCACAGTTGCACACCAACTGCAGGGCCGTTTGGCACATGACTAGAAGTGAACTGCGGCAGCACCTAGCCCGAAAGTTAACCTCAATTTGCGCCTAGTTGTCTTCTATATCGATTGTCTGTAGTTTGAACGCTAGTGAATGCGGCTTGTAGCAGTTGACCCGTGCATTTTATCGGGTGAGTCGGAGCACGCAGGTTGTTGAACAATGTGTGGTAAGAATCACGTGCTTTTCATGAACTCCCGCTGAGCTTGTGCACAGGGGATGCCGTCTCTTCCGTTTAGTTAAGGCCTTAGAATTCAACTGATAGTCATACTATCATCAGTCTTTTCGACTCCACTTGTTACTCACACAGTCCGCATATATCTAGTTGACGGTAACCACAGACACGAAGTTCACCTCATCACTGAAGAAAAAAGTTTGGAACGCAACAGCTGTGATACCTTTATCGCACGATTCTTTCATAAAATCGAAAAAAAGCGTCCAATTGGGTAGTATAGTACTCAAAACGAATGCTAACAAACCATTCCCTCAGTCGAGCAATCGGCCACCTCTGAGCTGCTATCTAGTTTAGGCTTGATCGTTGACGTATGCCACACAGACCGGTTGATCCAAGCCTCACCTTGGTTAGAAAATATTCGAAACGAGTCAACAACATGGTCGACTAGAAAACGCGATTGGCAAGTTGGCTGATCTGTTGCTTAGTTTATAGTGTTATGAATAACCAAACGGTTACTGCGTTGAAACAAAATGGATGAATTTGTGTTCGCTTCTCGAAGTTATTTCGTGAAAAACCGTTTGAGGCTGATGGTCATAATCGCTTATTTCGTAGTGACAAAACCGTGCGTCGTAAGTAAGATCGCTAATTTTCAGTCCATCTGGAGTGAGTTTCCCAAATCGTCCGTAATTTCTCGCTTGTAACCCTGATAGTGAAGATCTTTGATTGTGAAGGAAACTACTCACAAGGTTGCTGAAAACTCTTCGACAGCCCACGACCGGATTCGCCATTCTTGGGGCTCATCAGGTTGGCGCAGTCTCCGAGTTTCCGTCAACCTTATGATCTTTGATTGTGGTTTACTACCGAATTTGGTTCTGACTGCTGCGATTGCTGCTATTGGCGCGTGATATTTCATACGATACGGTATTCGAGATACCGCGGTATATATTTTTTTTCATGACGGAACACTACCTGCGTAATTTTGACTACTTTGACTGGGGTGTGCCTGCGTGTGTTGTGTCGCCTGCAATGCGTCATTGTTGAGATTCTAGCTTGACCTCTGGCCACTGTGTCTATTACTGTGTGCAGTAGATAGACGGGATGCTGGCTTTATCACTGCGGTTGACGCAGTTCAGCTGTGCTTATCTCTAGTGTTTCAGCGCTAGTCCGTTCCGTGAGCGACTTTAGTCCTGGCTGAGCTATACGTGTGCGGTCGAAGTTCATTTCCTCCATTTGAACGGCCACTTCACTTCTGCATGTAGCATTTTCAGATGCATAAAGCATGTTCCATCTTCAGGGTTCCTCGTTCAGGTAGCCATCAGCACAACTACCATGCGCGCTGCAATCGCCGTGGCTCAGCATCCCATAGCAAAGCAATTTGAGAACTGTACTCGACGGATATGATCCCTACAACCTAAAGCCTGGTCGAAGCTCGCGCAAGAGCAAGCGACAAACAGTCTAATGGTGTATCCTATTCCACGATATTTTCTTAGTAGTGATTCCACCTAAATGGCTCACTTCAGAGCGAGAAAAGTTGACATCCTACCAGAAGGTAATGCACTCACATGTTGGCAATGTGTCTGAATATTGTAACCTCGGATTCCTTGATTGACTGTTAATCGGGTGGCAGTTGATCTGTTTACCGACCTTGTCACCTAACTTACTAACATGTCACGAATCGAGTAGAGATCGTCAGTGCGCGCATTGGATGATCTGTCGCGACAAGTCCGGCAATATTCAGCGAAATCAAATTAGGCGTGTGCACGCAAATGAAAAATAAGCAGGGGGTCATTTTGCTACTTTTACCCGAAAACTACCCATCTGCTTGAGAACCACCGCACAGATCACAGCCTCTAGTCCTAGCCTTGTAATCCTGTTTTATCTATTCAGTATTGCGTCCAGACCAAATCAGATGAGGCCAAGCGCAACACAGTTCCATCCTGTCCTTTCTAGGCTTATCGAAAATGGCAGTGACCACTGGAAGCATTTAGTGGTTCGTTTACCATCACTTCAGGTCCCCGATTGTGAGTCAGCAGTTGTCCAAATCAACGTAAATTGAGCCTAATTTAGCTGGATCATGAGAGCCGATCACGCAGCATGTTTGGCAAAACGAAACATTTTCGATAATATGCAAGAAGTATTGAAGTATTGAGCTATTAGTCCACCTACATTTTTCCACCAACGATTGAGCTATTAGTCCACCTACATTTTTCCGTATCCCACCAACACCCAGTATGTTAGTTATTTTTTAATTTTCGTACTCAATTTAGTATCAGCATGCTTCTATATCCGAGTCAATGAAAAGACACCTTCACTCTTAGACTCGTTAAGTATGATTTTCAACTTCATACCTTCTGCAAGTTGGCGGTATAACGATATCATTCTGAATGTTCATTTACAGAAGGAAAGAGGGCACATGTGATGAAGCAATTTTGGAGTGAGCGTGTCTCGGATCTTTTCCAGATAAGCCCCTCCACTTTTTGCCAACACCAAATTAGTGTACGCATACAGCCTTGACCTATTTTTGATGAAAACAATTCCTTATCCGCATCTAGGCTCATTTTGTGCAAAAATTTTCTCCGTTCGGACGTAAAACCTTAAATAAACTTTCTGATGCTTTCAACTCTCGTCCATGACATGCATACGGCAATACGTTATTTGCAAAGCCACGCAGTGATCCATCAGCAACGTTTATGCAACAATGGCCACCAAATGACACTTTCAAATGTTTCTGACAGGTAGAGGTGTAATGCGCGACAATGTCGGCAAGAGATCGGTCTTCGAAAGGGAACTTGGCTGGAGCGGCCAAGGATGGAGTTTAGGACAGTAATTCTATTCATTTATTGCTGGTCCAAAAATTTGGCATGAATCAAATTCTGCTCAGAGGTTTTATCTATTATCCACACGACCGCTGTTGACCGGAAGAACCTTCTTCGCGAAGTTTGGGCCTGGTGGCTTTTGCAGACTCCGACGCTTAATCATACCGAAAACTGTGGATCGAACGATTGGAGCTCACTCAGAAACCATCGAGTCTCTTTGGCATGTCTACAAGATGCAGAATAAACGGCGATGCGGCACACACTGAGCTTTAGTGGCCAGCTACTTGTGTGAGTTCGTTTCGAGGCAAAGGTACCGAAAAATGGACTTTTTTCGTGCAAATTATTAATGCCATGTTCCTATTTTCACCCTCTTCAATAAACACTAAAAGTACAGATTTCATATCCAGCCAATCGAACCCAAACCACACGAAAGGCGCTGTTTTGGGTGATTTCCAACTGTAATATACAAGGTGTCTTCGTATTCGAATGTCAGAATACATAGGTACTTACGGAGCATGGATGTATTGGGATTGCTGTAAATTGGCTTTTTATGCAGAAGAATGGCATTGTACGTTTAAGTAGCACTGATACTCATTCAGTCCAGTGGAAAATTTTGTGTACTTTTGGGCTAACGGACACACATGATCCAAATTGTCAAGCATTACTTACAAACGAACAAAGTTTTTGACTGGTTATTTATCATTAAGTTTCTTATTACACAGTAGGTCTTTTTATCTACTAATCCATATTCAGTCTGTAGTTGTCAGGCAGCTGATATTAGTCCTAAATATCATATCATAAAATATGTTCTCCGGGAGACGAAAATATGTAATCATGTATTTGTTCGGA